TAACACTGAAAAAATACAAATAAGAGAGAATATTATGAGCAATTATATGTCAACAAATTTGGTAATCTGGAAGAAATGGACAAATTCCTAAAAGCATATAAATTACCAAAACTGAAACAGGAAGAAATACAAAATTTGAACAGACCCATACCCAGCAAAGAAATTGAATCAGTAATTAAAAAATCTCTGAACAAACAAGATTCTAGGGCTGGATGGCTTTCCAGGGGAATTCTACCAAACGTCAAAAAAAGAGTTAATATCTATTCTTTCGAAGCTGTTCCAAATAGAAATGGAAGGAAAACTTCCAAACTCATTCTACAAGGCCAGCATTAACTTGATTCCAAAACCAGGAAAAGACCCCACAAAAAAGGAGAACTACAGACCAATTTCCCTGATGAACATGGATGCAAAACTCTTCAAAAAGAAAAGAATTATTCACCACAATGAAGTGGGATTTATTCCTGGGATGGAAAGCGGGTTCAATATTTGCAAATCAATCAATGCAATACTTCACATTAATAAAATAAATGATAAGAACCATATGATCCTCTGAATAGATGCAGAGAAAGCATTTGACAAAATACAGCACATTTCCTTGGTTAAAAACCCTCAAGAAAGTAGGGATAGAAGGATCATACCTCAAGATCATAAAAGCCATACACGAAAGACCACTGTTACTATCATGCGCAATGGGGAAATCTGAGAGCTTTCCCCCTAAGGTCAGGAATACGACAAGGATGTCCACTCTCACCACTGTTATTCAACAAAGTGTTGGAAGTCCTAGCCTCAGTAATCAGACAACACAAACAAATAAAAACCATCCAAATCAGCAAGGTGGAAGTCAAACTTCCACTCGTCATAACATGATACTTCATGTTGGAAACCCAAAAGACTCCACCAAAAAACTACTAGAACTGATACATGAATTCATCAAAGTCATACTATATAAAATCAATATACAGAAACCGTATGCATTTCTATACACCAATAATGAAGCAGCAGAAGGAGACATCAAGAAATTTATCCCATTTACAATTGCACCAAAAACCATAAAATATCTAGGAATAAACCTAACCAAAGAGGTGAAAAATCTATACACTGAAAACTATAGAAAGCGTATGAAAGAAATTGAAGAAGACACAAAAAAAATGGAAAAAAATTTCCATGCTCATGGATTGGAAGAACAAATGTTGTTAAAATGTCAATACTACCCAAAGCAATCTACATTTTCAATGTGAACCCTGTCAAAATAACACCAGCATTCTTCACAGAGCTAGAACAAACAATCCTAAAATTTGTATGGAACCAGAAAAGACTCCGAACAGCCAAAGCAATCTTGAAAAAGAAAACCAAAGCTGAAAGCATCACAATTCTGGACTTCGAGCTGCATTATAAAGCTGTAATCATCAAGACAGTATAGTACTGGCACAAAAACAGACACATAGATCATGGAATAGAATAGAGAACCCAGAAATGGACCCACAAACATATGGCCAACTTATCTTTGACAAAGCAGGAAAGAGTATTCAGTGGAATAAAGACAGTCTCTTCAGCA